CTGGCTAAACGGTTGCAAGTTGCAGGAAAAAAGTTAAAAATTTGACATTTTTTGGCTTGAAATGTTTATTATTTATCATTGATATTTTTCCGAGAGAGGTAGAGAGATAGAAAGATGGATACGTAGACTGGTAGAAAGGTAGAGAAATAGACAAGTAGGCAGGTCGACTGATAGGCAGATCTAAGAGTGGATAGGTGGACAAGTAGGCAGGTAAACAGATGGACAGGTAGGCAGCTACAAAAGTAGATTGTACTTGAACAGGTAGGCACTTACACAGCTACACACTTAAGACAGATGGACTGTTATACAGGTCGATCATATACCAATCAACTATTTGTAGGTACAACTTGCATTAAGGCAAAATGTCACTTATACCGAGTTAAATTACTGAATGAATATAAATATTATAACGTTTGTTTTGACCAACATGAGTTTACAATTATGAGTCCTACGTAAGAAGACTCCTATGTAGGAAGTCTTAGGACAAAAAAATCAACTTTCAAATGAAGTCAATTCTCAATTTCTTTGTATTGCTATTAAAAGATGTTTGGATTAAGTGGCGACTCAATTACGTTGCCAACATCTGGAATTGTCCATCTTCTCTTCTATTCGACAGACTTTTCGCACCGCACGGTTGACGTCGATTAACAAAATGCCCGCAGAACTAATGAGAACTCGACGTGAGAAAACAAATTTACTTAATGTGCGCCAGAGATGAGAACAGTACGTCGACTATCAGGGGAAGAAGTAAGACTGAAAGCTGATAGACGATGGTAACCAGCAAAGTTGTAAAGAACCAAAAGAAAAAAGTTCCAAAATAATACAATCAATTACTACATATTGATTTAAATACTTTTAGGTAAATTATTTCTTAAATCAAGTAGCAATTTGTATTATTCATTTCCTAAATCAATAGATAATATGTGGATAATAGATGGACTGTATATGAATATTAGATATAAATAAAATAAAAAAGATTTGTATTTGTCTTTGAATTATGATTTCTTTGCTATTGTTCCCTGAATATAAAAACCTATCAAAATACAAAATAATCAGTAAAACAAAATTATTTTTAGAACTATTATTTTTTAATCTAGAGTATAAAACAGAAGTATCTGTTACGGTATAACTAATTAGACACATATCAAACAAACAACTATCTGACTAAACCAGCAAATTCATAATTGTGGATGTGTTTTTTATTGCTTTTCAAAAATTTATCACCAGGTTCTTTTTACGCCAGACCGGGGTGAAATGAGACGACCAGGTGGCAAACAGGTTCAATGTCTACTTTTAATTTTAAAGGAATTTCACGAAATAATACCTGCATTATTCAATCAATGCAAAATATAAATTTCATTTATATATTTTTCATAGAAATAACACTGTGTATAACCTTGATCTAGTATTTTTAGAATTTATTATCAGCTGACCTGGAATAACTAATTTGTAAAATTGATCTTTTTAAATTAATTTACGATTTTTTATTGTTTTCTCCATTGCCAGTTAAAGGTTTACTTTTTCCTTTTTACCCCACACACGTGTAAGCTTTCATAAAACAAAACAGTTGAATCTAACTTAAAATTAACAATACATTTTATAAAACAATTAAATACCGTGTACTTAAAAATTATATTAAGGTCTCCTTAGCTAAACAACTGTGCTCACAACCAAAAAACTAACAACCCTAAGTAAATATTATGGAAAAATATTATGGATATTCTGTTACCTGCCGATAGTAAGGTGATGGCTAGTTACACATCTTTAACTAGACCTAACTTCAATTTTCAAATAGTGTTGTTAAACAATTCTTAACTTCACATGTTTTAGAGATATCGATTGTGGATATTACACCCCCGGATTATTAGGCTCCGTTCTACCCTATTGTTAAATTAAAAATTAACAATCAAAAAATATCGTAAATATAAATTAGCATTCTCCGTTTTGTTACTGGCTTGTCTTCTAAATTTGTTATTAGTGCACGGTCAAGAATCGCGCCCAGTTGAAAGGAAGGAAGGCCATTACCCATTAGTTAGAGTGCGAAGCGTTTGACGCGAGCGATGCAAGAAAGCTCTAATGCAAAAGCGTGTCCGAGAGACAATGGATGAAATTAACACTTGAAGTGAGCAAACGATATCGCAGCCGCCGTTTGACTTTCAAATTGAAAATTCAATTCGATCGGAGACAGGCAATTAATTAATGGGCTACGACGGGCCATAGCATACAAATTAAATTGTAGACGATGGAATCGATTTTAAAATTATTTTGTACGGAAATTCGATAATCGTAATAGGCGAAATAATTAACGGTAATTGAACGCTGATTGCGTAATAAATGGATCACCAGTTTAATAAACTATGATTCTTTGATCGTTATAATCCATGCTAATATCTAATATATCCATACTAATAACATATGGGCAACTAATTTCTTGCAATTAATATTTTTATCCTGTAAGTGTAAATAGATTCTCATTAAGTGTATTAATGAATTTATTCTGAGCTACCTATTAAAGCGATATTGGAAGATGTACAGTGTGAAACCGCATTCACCTCAAATAGTTTTATCCAATTGCTTTCTGAGAATTCGATTTCTAAACAAATAGGTGCGAATTCGATGCAGCCGGTCGTTTCGGTGCATTGACATTCTTCTAGAGAATTGCGTGAAATTGCGAGCTCTTTTAACCAAAGAGCTGATAATTCGTTTGAAAATAATCTTGATAAAAGACTATAATATTAATTAATTTATTGGTGCATTGCAATGAACAAAATTCTATAGAAAATAAATAATTTAAGCAAATATGTAGCAAATTCTTAGTTATGAATATTTTATAATAAAATGAACAAAGCAGTCTTCTCAACTGCAAAGGGGGTGAGACATTAATGTAGGTAAGTATAATGAACTTTATATTAAGGGAGTATTCTAGTGTAGAAGCACAAATTTTAAGCTATTTTTAAAGCAACACAAAAAAGCAATACATTTCTTTATACACTAATATTTTGCAGTGGAGGGTCACAAAACATGGGCAAGTGATTATACCCGCGATTACAACCTTCCTAGTAAACCGAAATTAACATTATCCAGAATGATGTTGCAAAGGCTGAAATTAAGTTAAAAAAAAATCTTTTTGGCAAAATGGCGAATGTTTGAAAAAAAAATCATTTTCTTACCACTTTTTTGAGTTTCTCGAATTTTTTTTAGAAGTGGTAAAAATTGATATTTGGGGATGAAGCTAGTATATGCCTGAGACAAGTCTATAAACATTTTCTCTAAATTTTTTTATTGAATTGACTCAGTAGAACTCGAGAAATTGTGGACATCGTATTGAAAAAGACAGTTTTGAGAAAAACTTTGTTTAAAGTTTCGCGAAAGTAAGAAAACAGTAGACGATTATCACGCTCAAATAACCGTATCTCCGAAAATAATTTAAGTTTCAAAAAATCCTTTCGTACACATCTTTTTAAATAGTTGAGCTTTAAAATGAATTTTTTGGAATTTCTACTAATTTTTTTGGAATTTCAAATAAATAATAAACAGTAAATATTAAAAGGTATCTTACATTTTTAACGTTCTCCTACGTTTGATACATTTGAGCTTCTATAGTGAAGAATGACAATAACCAACATGAATGGTTTCGTACAAGATTTTTTATCTAGTAAGAAAAGTATATTTGCTTAACTGTTAAGTGTATGCATGTATAATAGTATGTTTATAACTAAATATTTATTGGTATTTTCAGAATATTTTGATGTAAATAAAATATCTAATATATATAGAAAATAAACATATTTGAGGTTTGCAGTGTGAAATGGTATCGTTAAATCTCATATACTAACCTTTTTTACTTGAATTGAAGTTTAAATAAATTACTTGGTATAGTATAATACTGCTCCACTTAAGTACATATGTACATTCTCTGTGAAATATATTTTTATGAAAAAAATGTATTCTTTCTATATCAACAAGATTTATCTAAAGTAATAAAACTGCAAGTCCCCCATTCAAAACCCCGCAATTGTTCCTCCTAGCCCTTTAACTAATTCCCGCGCACCCTTTTTCCCATCACATGGGCGACCCGTGAGTTATTGCGCGGCGGTAATGAAACAATATACAGCAAGAGATTTTCGCAGCGATTTCATTGCCGTGTAATGGCTCCTAGTCTAATTTCGACGGTGATTCGACGGTGTCGTTTCGGAAAATTTTCGCAGTCGGCGGAAAGAATGATCTTCCGTCGCTCGAACCGTGATTGACTGGATTACGGGAGGAAAATACAGGAAAAGCTAAGCGATAAGGAAATTCAACTAGCACTTATGCTAGTTGTTATTTTGATTGAAATTTATTATCGTCTTATTACCCTTGCAATGATAATATATTTAAATGCGTTTCCTACTTATATCATTTAGTATCATTTCATAAAATTTGCAATAGTTCTGGCATGAACTAGTTTTTAGCTTTTGCAAATTTGTTTATTATCGTGATTGATTTTTTTTGCTTATGTTAATCAACGGGATATTTTTTGGATAAATTGTATTTATTATTTACTGTATAAATACCTATATAAATCATTGTTAACAGAAAATATAATAGTTTTTTTATGATCCCAGTGAATAAGTGGTAATAAGTTGAATTTTGACAAAAATGCCTCGTCTCGCGGCATTAACTATTTCTCTGAAAATAGTCAATAAATTGAAAAACTACTTGTTAGTAATGAACACTATCGAAGTACTTTATATAAAATTTACACTATTAATTTCAAATATGCGATATTACACGAGTAAAAAAACTTTGAAATTAAGCCTTGCCAAATAGTGAAAATTTACTGAACCACTTATTTACTGGAATGACGGATGATCCAAGACGCCTTAGATCACAAATTTAATAATTTACCTATAAATTTTATAATCTCTATATTGACAACGTGAGAGATTCGATAAGAATGTAAAATTGCATTGAACGAAAAATGTGATTAATATATCTATTAGAAAGAAAAATGCACTTACCTATCGTAGTAGTAATCCCTGAAAAAGAAAAAAAAAATTAATTAATATGAACATATTGAATGATTATAAATAATATTAGTATATTATGATAACATTTACAAAATGCATTACTTTCTTTGCTAAAATGTTTGTTAAACTTAAATAGTGCATAGTTAAATTAAAAAAAAAATTATAAAACTTGCAAAATATTGATATACTAAGAATACAAATGTTAACAGACAAGTCAATATGTTGTTGTTAAAGAAAATAATAAAATTAGGAAATTTTATTTTCATTAAGAAATCATTAGGTCTAATATAATATTATTATATTAATTGTAAAACTGAGAAGATCTCATTGGAGTTCTTCTTAGGCATCGCTCTTGAATATTGTCAATTTAGCTCATAGGAATCTCTATGTATTTCTGATTGCTAAATAAAAGAGAGTTAAAAAAAGTAATCATTAAAAACAATTGGACGGTTTGTAAAAAAATACAAAAAAAAAAAATACTATATCGTATATAATAGAAATGGATATAGTATTGCCCCAGGACAAATCTAAGTTAAACTCCATGTCGATTAAGGCAAGAGTGTGAAAAGTATCTGATTGCCATTTCACACAGCAGTGCCAGAAATGGGCTATTTTCAATTGGCTACATCTTTTTGATCAGTAATTTTATTATAAAATTGATATCACTAATGCATGATATCAGGTCAGAACAGAGCAGAGGTTCGAACTCACAACCCTGTCCACATGATGTAGTGCGCTTAACCGTTACGCCATAGAACACCCTCATATATATTTATGTAAATAAATATATATATATATATATATATATATATATATGTTAAGAAATATTCACTGAAATCATTTTCCAGCACTAACAACAAACTGATTTTATTCATGATTGATAATAGAGGATTGTCGCCAAACTTATCTCGAATTTGAATGGGTATTATACATAATAGATGGAGGAATGAATAACGGAACTATAGAGCGCATCTCAATAACGTCGAAAATGACTAGAGATCAACATAAAATAGAGTGCGTTCCGAGATTTCTATGCTTTATAAAGTTATGTGCATCCATTCCATACAAATTCAGGAACGGATTGAAACTACAAACGAATACTAACATCATTCGAATACAAATTTCATTTATTTTTATAGCTTAAAACGCTGCATTATAGAAAATCACAATTCTATGATTATTTAGATCAGAATTTGAATTAATTTAATTCTGCCTTATAACGAACAATGGAAAAGTAAAATTCGCAATGTTTCATAAACATAATTATGTAAAATATTAATAACAATTAACATTGAGACTTGCAAAGGTAAAGCAAATTGATTACAGTAATACGGAAACATTTCTTCTAAACCACTTTTACTTTTATATATACGCATCATCATTTGATATTTATTATCATACATTGTTACTATAGAATTTATTACCTATTATATGAAAATAAGTCGAGTTTTCTTTCCTGACGATATAACTCCAGAACCCCGAAACGATTTCGACGATTTGGCATTCGTTGGAAAGGTCTCGGACTCCGTGAGGTTTATAGTAGAGAAAATTGAAGAAAGATTTCAACAGAAAAGCGAAAAACTTATGTTTCCACATACTCTGATACTTAGCATGTACAACAAACTAATATTTTTTGTTTGACAGCTACTCATTGTTCTCTGCTCAGTTAATTTCATGTGACAAACCGGGATTGTGTTCACTGTGAAATTGTGCAGAAAAATAAAAAAAAAGTTATTCATTTCCTAACATTTCATTTGGAAACCCTCAAATCAATCACGTGTATTGTGCGAATTTTTGTTCAGTTTCAACAGCAGGCAATATTTTTCTTCATCTTTTAATCGCCAAACAAAATGTTACATAAAATGAAACCATCTGATGGTGGTGAAACGGTGTTCGCCCGGTTTGCTAGTGATTAATAAAATAATTCAGTCTCTATTACGTCTTTTTCAGTATGTGTAACAGTATTTAGTCAATTTTTATTTTGTTGAAATGCGTACTAATATGAAAAATTATAAAAATTGTATTATACCAGGCTTAGTTCGGCAGTCTAAACAGTTGTCCCATCTTTATGTGATGAATTTTATTATTACAACTTCTGCAATGGTGATGAATTTTTATATAGAGAAATGCTTAGGTAATGACTACTTTCATTTGGGAAGCATCACTTTCTATATTTCCAGGTGAAAACCGATGTGAATACTGCTAGGCATAAGGATGAAAGAGGCGGATATCGAAATTGGGACCTCTGGTTGTAATCTCATAACTCTAACCACTTTTCCACGAAAAAGCCATACTATATGAAACAAATAACAACTAATGAATAAGCTACACTTCATTTCCTAATAAAATCAATACCATGTATTAAGATAAAAATTGATCTGAACGAATGCCAATTTAATTTTGAAATTTATATAAAATTCAACCCTGCAACGATATTGCATTGCTTCTATCCCTTCTATTTTCTAGTCATTGCCATTGATGTCTCAATACCTTCTTATATACATTCTAACATACTAATACGCATACCGACCATAGCAAGGCATAGGATGGCGTGTCTGAGAACGTGAGCCCGTCAAGTCTTTGCGCTGCACAGAAGATTGACACGTAGTTTTTGTTTAGCTCGGCATAAAAATAGAGACGACTTTTTAATACAATATCTGATACAATGTTGCAAATGGTAAAATGATATTTTTATACTTTCACAGAATTATTAATAAAACTATACACTATGCATGGTCTATGGAGAACAGAAAGTTGATGGTTTTAATTATATCTTTTTTTAAATGAATGCACCAGTAAAATAGTAATAACAAAATCAGGACGAAATTATATATATATATATATATATATATATATATATATACATATGTGTATTTATATATTAATAAATAAGTCGGGTTTTCCTTCCTGACGATATAACTCCAAAACGCACGAACTGATTTCGGCAATTTTGCATTCGTTCGAAAGGTCTCGGGCTCCGCAAGATTTACAGCTTAAATTAGTGGTGCATGGCATCGTGCCTTAATGCAAATTGATGGAACTTCACGCACCGTAATTAAAAATTCGAGTAATGACATTAGTGAGAATTATCAGAATTATGCTTGGGTAAGTCAACGTTGCTCGTTTCCACAAAGAATAATGATGTACACGCACTGAATTTTACCATTCAATCAAATAGCTGGCGATTTGGTGACATACCAATGATTCCGCCTAGTCTTCCGTTTGACTTCACACGATTGCAGTTTCCAGTTCGCCTTGCGTTCGCAATTACAATTAACAAGTCTCAAGGCCAATCGCTTAGTGTTTGCGAGATAAATTTCAAATTGATTATTTAAAAAATCATTGTTTTTCACATGGGCAGTTATACGTTTCCTTTTCACGAGTTGGGAAACCATCCGCTTTGTTTGTGTTATCGTCAGACCATATATAAGTAGATTTTTTAAATCGATATTATTTCGTATGCTTCTGTTTATATTATCTATTATTAATAATTTACGTTCTTGGTATAGTTATTATTATAGTCTGTTTGGTTTAAAATATTCAGTCACCGTTCCCTAGCGCAATTAAAATCATTTTACAAAAATTCCTTACCATTACCGCATTAAAAATTAAAAAGAGCGATGAATTTTTGACGAATTTCATGCCAAATTATCAAAAGGGTAAGCATGATGGACGAATGTCAATTAGCCCACAAAAAACTCAAGTGCCAGAGTAGAAAACACAACCACTTCTTCGCCGAAGTCATTTTCCGACAATATAGAAATAAAAAAGCGAATAAATTTTGACGCGAGGGAGCTTACGACGAATCATTTGTCTTGCCGAAAAATTCATTTATGAAGCAAAAAATATAATGGAAAAATGCAAATATATTTTGATAATTTATTGGCTGCAATTTCACAACAATAACGGCACAGGTGAATATTTTTTCCCTGGCTATTAAATGTAAATGTTTTAATTATGCGGAATGGTTTGTAATTCATTTTCATTGAATTCTTTGAACTGAACTCATGAAATTTATAATTATATTTGCACAATACATATAACTGTGATAAATTTAAAAATCTTGAATAAAAGATACACACCAATTTACTATACACAAATTTATATTTATAGAAAAATATGCAAAAAGTCAACTGTAGGTGAACAAAATTAATATTTATATTATATTATAATATATTTTAATAGATGGTACTCATATAAAATTTATTTATAATAGGTATATAAAAATGTATATAATATGTTTTGAGTAAAATAAGTTAATTGTACTTTTTTTTTTACCCTACATTTAAATGAACTCGCCAATAAATTTTGCATTCATATTATCTCACATACTTTTTATGTATATATTTGCTTTTTAATTTGATCTATTATATTGTATTATTAAGTTATATTTAGGAATATATCTATTTAATCATTAGTTTCAATTTAAAATTAATTAAAATCCTAAAAAAAATAATCCTAAGCTATCATAAGGATAGGATTCGTCGTGGCGAGTTAACGCGTTGACTTTGTATGGACAGGGTCGCGCGTTCGAATCCCTGACATTGGGCGGCGCGATGTCCATTTTCAATTGAAAATATAGATAAAAAATATGTTTCAAATTAAAAATAAGCCCATTTCGGGCACTGCGGTGTGAAATGGCAATGGTAAACCTCTCACACTATTCTTCCCTGAAGCAAGTTGGAGTTTAACTCAGCTCACGGACCTGCCCTAGAGCAGGACTACCCATTAATTATCATAAGAATTGTGTTTAATGCCTAAATTCTATTTTAATATATAAATATTTTATTTATATTAATTTATTTAACAATTAAACCACTTTTCGTAAGCCAATTATATTTTAAAATGTTAGAAGATTATAAACTGTATTATTATACAAAGTTACCATCAAAATTATTTTATTAAAAAAATCTCGTCGTCCGTAAGTCTCGTAAGTATTGTCGTCCTTCGAATAGTTTTTTATTTTTCAAAATTGATTAAGGGTTTTTGGTAAAAACATGGATGAATTT